GTAGTAGTATATAGTATATGTAGTGTAGTATATAGATATATAGTATATATATATATATATATATATATATATATATATATATATATATATATNTTGGTATGTGTGTGTGTGTTTGTGTGTGTGTGTATGTGTATACGTGTGTGTGTGTGTAAGTGTGTATGCGAGTGTGTGTATGTGTATACGTGTGTGTGCGTGTGTGTGTGTGTGCGTGTGTGCGTGTGTGCGTGTGCGTGTGTGTGTAAGTGTATGTGTGTTTGTGTGTGTTCGTGTGTGTGCGTGTGTGTGTGCGTGTGTGTGTGCGCGCGCGCGTGTGTAAGTGTATGTGTGTTTGTGTGTGTGTATGTGTGTTTGTGTGTGGGTGTGTGTGTATGTGTGTGTGTGAGAGTGAGTGCGTGTGCGTGCGTGCGTGTGTATGTGTATGTACGTGTGTGTGTGTGCTTGTGTGTGTGTGCTTGTGTGTGTATGCTTGTGTTTGTGTGCTTGTGCGTGCGTGTGTATGTGTGCTTGTATGTGCTTGTGTGTGTCCAAGTATGCGCTTTCACATACGTACCAAACATTGGATTAACGGCGAATCGCAGAATCGCACTATAGGACTGTTCCATAGAGATAGCCTGCGAAAAACAAGTAGATGAAGTCGATTTAATCATTGGGCCGTTTACCTGCCTGGTGACCGTATGTGATTAGCATATAGACCTACCATAGTACTATAACGATAGATAAATATGTTCGTACATATCTACATATAAAAGTAAAGATCGTCAACACTCTTTTCCCTTTTACATAGTATTGATTCAATAGGACGGCAGCACTGACTCTGATACATGCTGTTTTTCCCTTTCTCATCTATGTACCATGCCTATAAATATGTCGATTAACAATAGGTTTCTTTTACAAATCCTGTTGCATAATCATTCAAGATTATCATGCACAACATACGATTACAAATTAGCCCCAAAAGCATACTCAATACACAATCATACATTACGAGATCGTACACCTCTCCTTGTTTCATTTCAATTATGTACTAGCAAGGGTTGCAAGGTTGTCACAGTGATACCTAAATCGCCTAAACTAGAAGTTGAAGCGTGCGCAATACATATTACATATACAGGTTGTAGATCTCAAACCAGCGATTTCGTTCACATACTACAAAACCTTGTCGGAATACATTGCAAAGTCGGAAACATACCCATTGATTCTACCGGTATCAGTTGATACATGTATAGAATAACAGACATGCGACCCCAAAATCTTGTTCAAGCTAAATTCATTTAGTACGAAAAGGTAATTTTATCATTATACTTCCTACTGTCATGTTTTGGCAATAACCATTGGTGCTACTGTAAATGATACACACACAAAGTGATTGGCACGGTATTTATACAATCCGACGAACGTACTCAAATACCGCTGGTATACCACATCAACGTACCATTTTTCTTGTTTCTGCTTCGTTCAAGTCGTGCAGTAACAAGTGCTGCAGAGTATCGGGTGCAATACCCAAAGTCAATAATCGCAGCAGTTGAGTGCCAATGTCCTCAGTTGGGCCCAATTGCTGCTGTTCGTAGCGCTCGAGTCTCTGACCGAATTCGTGCACCAAACCCTCCCAGGACTTCTCCATCGATTGGAAGTTACCCCTGTTGTTAAGTGTGCATATAAGTGAAAGAGTAAGCGTGTGCGGACTTAAAATGTACATATTTATCGAACAAGTATTTTGCTATAATTTGCATACCGAGGGATCCTCCAAGAGTTTTAATATGTAGTATGAATGCTCTACACACGATACAAGCTATCGAGACAACATGTGTATGTATACGTCTGGCGTCGTCTGAGTATATGAGGTTCGCTTCATAATATTTATACTATGCAGTACCAATACACCATGGGTGACATATATTGTATACCCAGATAATTATGGACGGTCATACACAACGGTAACTCTCCAAAATAATGCACATCACATAAACACGCCCTAAATTATACATACCTCACGTCCCTCTGTACTTGCCACACTTTTGCTACAACGCTTTACAGTGCTATTAAGTCGTGGATATGTTTCTAGGTGCCTCTCTCCTGCGCCCGATGACACACACATTCACAACCACCGCCATGATACAAACAACAGAAAATCGTAAATATGAATTAAGTATACAATCGTGAATTCATATGTATTTGTACTTAACACATCAAAAATACATATACGTTTCGCATGCATCCCTAGACGTATCAAGATGTGTCTTGCTGCGTGATTTAGTTCAAGAATGCGGCGGCCGTGTAAAATTGCCTCACTCTGTCCTCAATTGCTCCCTCATCCACCATCTTCACCACAACTACGAAGAAAAGACTTTAAAATATATGTTGCATATACACACATGAATCTGTATATACGTTAAACATTATGCAACAACAAAATGAAATGTCATAGTTCCAACAGCCATGTACTTACCATGCCCTGTCTTCCAGCGCAATGCAGTGCGAATAAGCCGCGGCCAGAGTTCTCAAAGCCTCTCTTCTGCGCCCAATGGCACGTACATCCACTACAACCAGCGTGAGCATCTCCAATGCTTCATCAAGGGTATCATTATGATCCAATCCCCTCACATCGGATGTATTGGGGCCAGCATGGGTGCCGATACCACCACCTGTCTCCGCACCAATAACTGTGTTCATATCAGTGTGGTCGTTGGTACCAGTCAGTGTATCGATATCAGTATATGTTTTATCGTTACTGTTGGTCCTTGTGCTTGTGTTCCTCTTCTCTATAGTTCTTGCCGCATCTACACTTGCATTCGCTTCATACAAGCTGCTGCTGCTCAAAGCCTCCTCCGCAGTTCCAGAAGCATTTGAATCCTGTCTGAAGATTTCGCGTGCATGTCGTTTGTCCGTTTGTGCCACCGTGGCCACTAGCGTGGACAGATCGGACCCCAAACGCACACTGTGAATACCCCCACTCACACAACCTTTGCCGCCGACGCATATACTTCCCAATGACAACAATCCCTGTGTTTGTGCATGTAGTTTGAGACATTTTGTAGTGAGCCACTTTTGTTATGGATAGTACCAACCCCACCCCCCAACTCGCCGAATTATAGTAGCAGGGACTATCAGCCTCGTAAACGTGATCGATTGCTATATCACACCGGATAATTATTACACACAAACTCCATTGAGAATTATACAGAGTTCGCTACAAATACCTGCTAAAATACCAACAAAAAACTATATTTTGGACGCTAGTGTAACTCTTTTTTACCACGTTACGATATTGGATAAATACCACGTATTTCTCAACCACATGGTTCTAACTTTTGGTAGTTAAAAAGATATTGTTTTCAACATCAACTATTATCACATTGCGTATTATATGTCAAATTAGTGACAAACAATGTTTTGTGTCGAAAAATGACAGAAACGATCTGCGTTAAACAAGTGACGGGCCATTAATAATTTGTGTTAAACAAGTGACAGGCAATGATCTGTGTCAAATAAGTGACAGACAATGATCTGTGTCAAACAAGTGACGACAATGATCTATGTCAAACAAGTGACAAAACAATGATCCGAGTCTTGATTTATATTGAGTCATGATGAATGTGCGAATCGCTACCGCGTGTACATTGTAATTAATTCTTGGAAAATTCACGTTCAGTGTCGGTGCTGGGTATCGATAACAGCAGTCTGTGCATATATTAGGTTTGTTTTTTGTACTTTATAGACACGCACCATTGAGTGAACCGACACAGAAGACTACTTGCTTCATGGAAGATTGTCACTTCAGGAACCGTTTCACCTCAAGTACTAGTATAACAGGCGTTTGTTTTATAGTGATCTACTACATGTGTAGGATATAGTGAGAATGTACGTAAGCCGACTATACTCCGACTATACTTCATGTTCTTCTAGCAATCTTTAACTAAGCTTTAAGTAATTGTCCTACAGAGGGCGATCAGAACAAAAGAGTGAGGTAGCATATATGTAAACTACAGTTTTATTGCGTTCATGTGTAATCATTCGCGTTATACATATTAACTGAATATATAAGACTTATGATTCCCAGGCCTGCGCAGAGGTAATCTGACACAGACAATACTCTACAGCAAGAAACACTACTATTTACATTCATATCACGACCTCTCCGAGGCAGACTAGTAAATAACAACTTTACAAAACACAGCTAGCGTAGACTGGAACTGCTAAATTTACTATATGATAGTATCCACTGAACGTTTCATGTGGACCCTAGCATACCATCTATTGAGCCACACGAGAACTTTCATTCTGCCACACTGACGACGCTCCATGTAAAGCCATAAGCTTTGTCTGAAAAGCCCACGTTCGTTTCTACACTAGCTTTTTAAGTGGACATTCAGCATAATTGCGCGTCTTCAGAATGATCTTATATCGTAGACAAGCATTTGAGTGATGCATATATCGGCACAAGAGATATGCATGATTGAATCGTGTGAGTGCGCAGCGATTTGAAGGTCATGTGCTCTGGGGTGAGTATAATCAATAGCTTTCGGGACTAAATGGAGTACCACAAAAATTACCATATTTGAATCCACACAGAAACAGAAGAGAGGGGAGAATTCAAAAGTTGCCTAACATATGAGTCTAGCGAGCTGAACTATTTTAGAAAAGCACAGTGAATCATCAGGAAAATGCATATGAATACATACACGCGCGTGCGTAGGTACACATCTACTCAAACCCATTCAATTATACAGCTAGTATATTTTGCCATGGTACATCTGTATCTTCCAATGCCACACGAATAGACCATACTCAGTACACTGTAGCATCTCCGACTGTTTAGGCACGGTCCTCTCAGTGGCTTCATGGGTGCCGCCACTAGCTGTCCAGAAACACCTATCAGTATGGTATGCGTACAAACAAACAAAGTAAACACATACACATATATAATAATTTCCTGCCAATATTGATCCTGCACTTGCAGAAATCAAAGTATACTTTTCTGCATACCTTTGCGTAGAAGGAGACGGTGCCGCTGTTCAGGCCCAGCACGAGCACATCCAAGTAGGCACTCGCCGGCCGCCTGTCTGCGATCCCAGGAGTGAGAAATCGAAATTGATAAGTACTGGAGGGTTTTATGAATGTTTGATATCAAAATTGCAAACAAGGGGTGACCATACGTCCTGATATTTTCAAAGTGATTGGGTGAGACATAACTAGATCGTATACTCATAGGGCACGATCCGTAGCGAATATTAAAAAGGTTAGGATCACAAAGTTGTGACTGAATCGTTTCGATGTGTCACATAACTAATGAACTTGTATTTTACTGCACTTCTCCGTATTAGACGCAGGTGGAGCGCGTTCGAAGGTACCTAAGACTAAGATATACCCCTAGCATCTATTAGAAAGGTCCCAAGATGTAGGTCCGCCTATGAATTTTGACCAATTCTAACGACCACGTAATCGCATCTTGATTATACTCTGCTTCTAGTTGAAAGTCGAACTTCAAGAAGAAACTATTTGCTTCGCTTAGAACAATAAATGAGAAAAAAAATTCACAATATCATCCTGGCTATCACTGCATTGGGTAGCATGTTATATGTTCGAGGATGGTGCACATATACCATTTCCGTAAATACGTGTGTCTATGTGGGTAGCTGAAAACTTTTGTACGCCTGTTGGCTTGTACTTGCGTGAATAATATAGGTACGTGTACGTGGGTGGGGGTGGTGTACGAGTGTATTCGTCTGCTCCATAGTTTCTCCTTTCATTCCCATAACACACATACACGTTGCAAATAGATACATAATTTTCATAAAATATTTGAACTAATTAACACTGAACATTTCGCGCGACCCCAATAAGTAATCACGATAGAATTAGCTATTCTGCTTAAACATTTCGCTACTCGTGTGGCCTGAACCGCTGTATGCGGATATAAAACCCCGTTGCACAAATCGTGCAGTGTACAATTTATGCCTCGAGTGGTTCTATCCGCTGCTTGGTAAGTACAAACTGATATACATATTTTAACTACTTATCCATATACTATTATAGATTATCATACTGCCCATTTTACTTCACTCGTATTGCAACCAAGCAGACCTCAGCAAATCTCTAAAAAGCAATACAATCTACAAACCTAAAACCTAGATGCCTCCAATAGTTTGCGGACAATCGATCTACAGTGGAACCTCCACGTCTCTGTGCAAATCCGCTTGCACTGACATGTGAAAGTATTTCATGCTGTAAATAGACATTATTTTGAAGTGCAAGTATATATTTGTGTCTATATTTCCTTAGGGAAAATCACATACCACATATGTGCATGCATCCTCCCTACAACACTTAATGATGCAATGAATGACGTACATATACACGGACATACCCTGTTAAGTTCGAATGTACGCCCGATATATTTGTATGTTTATTCAACTTGCAAATGGACGAGTAGATAAAATCTTCCTCGTACAGCAACTGGCACCAATAGGGGTAGTCACAATATACTTATGTATTTGATACTTAGCTCGCATATACATCTACGTCTATTTGTATGTCAGAAGTATATTTACATGTGCATGTCAAGTTGATTTTATACAACCACTAGACACACGCAAGCAGGGGTATGCATGCGTGGCAGCATCCGTTGTCCAGAACTCGCTACACACCATCACCATCATGTACCGACATATACATTCAACCTACCAGTAGACGTGTACATGGAAACATCCTTTACGCAGCACTCGCTGATGCCAAAGAGTGGCGGCAATGTGCGTGTGCATGTGCTGGTCAGATCTGCGAACTGTTCTGCGTGGTCTCCTTCCTCTTCGCGCCCGTTGGCGTAGCTTGGACCGATGTGGCACTGTAACGAAAACAATAGTGTCGCAAACATATCATGTCGTAAATACAGACAATCTCAAAAACACATCTACCTCTCGAGAATACACTCCATCAAAGTACAATCCTGTCAATCCGAAACATCACCATGGCCAATTATTGACATTGCAAACCTGCCATGAGAGAAAACACCGACCAAGCGAAGAATCCACTTACCATACAATCACAGCCTGTGCCCAAGGTCTCCCCGCCCTCTGTGCCGCGATGCGATCCAACGCCTCTGCTGAGGGCTTGATTTGCTAATGCGGTTGCCGATGCTGGCATTAAAGTAGGAAAATTTATTGTGGCAAGAATTTATAATAGAATAGACAACTACATATGGACGCTCTCGGTTTCAAACGATGGAAATCACACGCGCATAGATGCCGCTGGTTTTAGTCGCCCGCACGGCTGTCGGTCGTGTAGGTAGATAAAATGCAGCGGATAGGTAAACCCAGATAGGCAATTACATGATTGTAGGTCGTAAAGCGCGACGACAACTAACATTCGATAGCATGTGCCAAATGACTCTGCTGAATGCTTGATTCGCAGGAGCAGTTGACCAACCTGTGTATTGAAATAAGTAGGGAGGCTGTCCGTGTGGTGGCGTGTTCTGCTGTGGAATTTATTCCGTCAGGTATCGTGAGTTTGTCACAATTATCACATTGGTGCTAAGGGTCAAACTATGCATACCATCCAGAACTTTCGTGTACACAACAAATCAACTGCTAGATGCAAAATTATTTCAAATTCCTTTACCTGTACCAGCTTCGATGATAGATGTGGGAGCCCCTTCCTCCGTGACCCAGTCCAGACATGTCACGAAATACTCGGCTGGTTCAGATTCGTTGATGGTATCAGGTGTGTTGTCAGTGTCAGATTCATTAGTCTGCACATAGCGATTGCACAGTTGTCATATGTGGTTAGAATTAAAAGAAGCGATGTCGAGTAACCAAGTTCAATACTGCTGACTTGTTGATGAAGACCAATTTCTGTCAACAGGAGTTTATAATGGTTCACTCCTGGTACGAAATTCTCGTCTCAATAGTAGTTTGGACGTACTGTACTCGGTGCACTATCGTACAAACATATATACGTACATGTTGGCCATCCTTGTCTTGAACGTTCATATTGTATAGTGTCGCGCCAGTCTCTACATCCAACAGGTCCACCTGCCCATTATCGTACCCCACACACAGCACTTTCCCATCGGGGCGCCATCGCAAAGCGGTCACTTGAACTGTCTCGCCTGCAAAGTCGTAGGTGCACGGGATGGCAAGAAAGAGAGGAAGAGTTGGCTGCATTTCTAACAGAGAAACTTGTGCGGCGATTGACGAGTAGCCATTACCATACAGCGGTCTCGAAGAAGTCCCAAAATAAATTGCAACGTATCACGGTAAGCAACATAAGAAGGTAGGGAAATGGCAGACAATCCCCACAAAATCAAATTCACGAAAGCGATGAAGATTTGATAACGCAGAATCTAGACTAAGTGTTTGTTTACTGAATTGACAGAAGATTAAAGACAAACATCGCCGATTGTAACCGGTAGAAAATACCCGAAAATGAGATTTATCATTGTTCCAAAGCTGTGTGGAGTGTTGAGTGCAATATGCTATCGAAGGTTTTGATATAGACGGGTCATATACAGAAAACAAGCGGTGTATACAAATGGGATCGTATTTGCAATAACAACTCAGACGGCAGCTAGTGAAGAAACACGTATACTGTGGGCGGCTGCAATAAATAATCCAAATTAGTCGAAGATTCTAAGACAAATGGGAAGTTGAATCGATGGTAGGTTTAGAGTGATCTAGAATGAGTGCGCACGTACACGATCCTCATCATCGTGTAAGCACCATACAAAGACAACTTTTGAGTGTAGAACCATAGGTTTTATTTGTAACATACAAATATAAGCAATGTGTGACTGTAAAGATCAAAATATCCCTGTTATGAATGTCTATGCACAGCTGCCTATATCCATACTATCTAATATACACCAAGACTATGAAGTTTAAACCCGTTTATAATAGGGTATGACATCTTGAAATCGATGTTTTCTGTCAACAACTGAATACCTGGCACGTGAGTCCACTAGCAGCTAATCGTTACAAGCGATATATGCAAACGAAAATCATGAAGTGCACATCATACTCACCCGTATGTAACAGAATAAATAGGCACTCGTGTATCAGCCTTGTTATAGGCTAACAGATTTTGGACGTGATGAAAATTTGAAACAACCACCAAAAAATTTACGTGCGGATGATAAGAGATTGCAGATAACAGCAATATGATGAGGTTAATGATGAGGTCATTTTTGTGGTCAACCAATCAGGCACCATGATATTAAGCCCAGAAAACTTAGAATTGGTTGAAAAGACCTGCTTAAAGCAATTTTGACGCTCACATGTATACATATTTATATCTACATGAGTATGAGTGTTTTCATATACACGCTTGAATATGTGCATATGCGTGTATGTCTGTGAGTGCGCCTGTGTAACCGCAGTGCTCTTCTTTTCTCTTTGTGTATACTCTACTTGGGAAGTTGGTATACTAGATTCTTGTAGAGAATGTATGCGTACCTGCTGTCGTAGTACATAGCAACCTCAATTTCAAGTGTCACCTATGTGATCGACATTCCAATAAAATACATCTCTGAGTGCGCCTGTGCATATGCTTACAAAACGAATGCTTATCTAAACCTACCACCACTATAGCAGGGCCAGCTACATAGAGATAGAGAGAAGAACATATATAGATACGATAAAGGAGAAATTATATATGCACACAAACGCATATATACTATGGTGTCACACGAAAAACTAAATCTAATTACTGCATACATGCACAGGATTGAGTGTATATCAAGAATGTATACATATATAAACACATATATATAACACAAACATACATATATACATATATTCATGGATGTAAATGTTTATATAAAAACATGTACATGTATATATATATATATATATATAATATACACATATATAAATATATATATATATATATATGTGTGTGTGTGTGCGTGTGTGTGTGTATGTGCGTGTGTGTGTCTGCGTGTGTGTGTGTGTGTATGTGTGTGTATACACAAACTTATATATAAATATATATATATATATATATTATCAAATATATATCTACTTGCGATATTCTAAACCGTATATTTTATAACTTCTTGAGGTGAAGGTATGTGCGAGTCTAACCTAGTACTGCCAACGCACAAGCATCTACTATGGGAATGCTGACGGGTCTTGTAAATATGCTTAAACATGTAAATCACTCAAGATGGGAGGTGGACTTGCCAGCGTACCCGCCGATCTATCTGTTCGCGATCAGTATCATGTCGGCTCTATGTGTTGTATCGTATTCTGTTTCTATTCTCCGCATGATACAAATTTTAGTCGGCTACTACGAGCCGTCAAAATCATGCAAACAGCTGTGATCTCCTGCAACAATTATCTCCAACAATCAGAAATTCGAACCAAATTGAGTTCACGCCACCAAAAGCATACTATACTCTTGCATCCACACAATTGTTAAAATCTATACAATCCTGCTCAAACGAAGCTTACTCTCTCACATAGTTGTATTTAGTACTTTTAAGCTAATACATGTCATGATCGATTTTTCGCAAACGCGGTCACAATAATCTTGCTAACTCATATTTATCCCCAATAGATTCAACTTTGTGAAAAAACCCCATTTCCTACCTTTGGATGCAGTGGTCCACAACTTCTGACCCGAGAATCTCAGCAACTGCACACGGCTCTCTACCAAGGCAATCGCCGCTATATCCATGGTGGGACACCATTGTATTCCAGCACATTCTACCTGTGATCCCAGAGTACATTCCTTCTCCAAAGCAAAGTCATTCGCTTGTTCGAATGCTTTTTGTTCCATCGTGGTATGAATTTATGACTTGATGTGGGCGTACATATGACAAGTGCGTATCTTCCAACAGCGCTGCCTATACTGTGAATCTCTTATTTGAGTTATCCACTTAACATCACGGACACCGATATGATGTGAATGTGATCGAGAACTTTCTTATTGGGTTGGCATTGGAATGTGGGACGGTGTCTAGCGTGCGTGTAGAAGAACGCTATATATATATATATATATATATATTCGTCATAGATATAAATACATATAAAAACTTACGCACCTCTATAGAGTAGCTGGCAAAAGCTCTATTATATATGCAAATACACTGTCCGTTTCGATGTCATCACTCGTATTGTATGTCTAAAACTTATTTATTCTATTTTTTATTCAGCAGTGTGACCTGCGACGTGCGAACGTCGAACTGCGATGACAAAAACTGATATTTAAAATTGCTGAATGAAAAATAATATATATATATATATATATTTTTAAAACAAAAATATGTAGTGACACTTCGATAGAATGTTCCCGCCAAAAGATCAACCCCAAAATGAAGTATTTACCATGCCTCCTAAAAAAAGAACATATTTACATATAAAAAATATATATAATTTTTTTGTTTGTGTTTTTATTTATAAAAAAGGTTTTAGCTGGTACAGGGCAGATGATCCTGGACAGGTACTTCAGGACAACTAATCGTTTATTTTATGTTACTTCTTGTCGACGTACTTTAAGGGTTGAAGTACTTGATCTGAGGGGAAGTGCGTTTCCGTCATGAAACCTCATACTTAACCTAGTAGTCTGGATTTCAACAAGATAACTTTAGGCGGGAACATGTAATAAGCTAAAGAACTATTTGAACAAGAAGAACTAACTTTATTTACTATTTGTGTTGTCAATATGTAATAAAGTTATGTTGTGAAAGTAAAAATATATTTTAAACGTATCCAAGATAATTTGTCGCCAAGGATATGTAAAACCTAGTTGAGTTAGGAAAACCCCAGTTTGGCATGTAGAATAAATGAGTCATGCTCAGTCATTCTCAATAACTTGTGTTCCATTCCTCCCAGAAAACTAGCGGATCCCAGGAGGTAGCGCGGAACCTGACACCAACAGTAAGACCGTCAGGTGCATCTAGCCCTTGTTGGTAGTTTAGGGCCCATGACCACCCTTTTACTATAACTATTGTTAATGTGTATGGAAGCCACGTACATACTAACGACGATTATGGGCCTAAGATAATGCGCGGTGATGAATCCACATCTATGGTATATGTGTATTGTAAGGGCTTTACTGATCGTTATTAATCAGAAAAGCTAAGAATTTACGTTTGTACCCCACGCAAGATACAGGCGTATCAGTTTTCGTTCAGCTTGGAACGGTCTCAAGCGGATAGAGATATCGCCAAAGAGTGTAAAAAATCGAAAGAACAATTATAAAATTATGAACGTTTTGGTGGCCGCAATAAGACCCTCTCAGAGATTGATATTACGGATATAGAAGCGCAAGTGGCTCGCGGGATCGTGAGTATTAAACCATTAATAGCTGATTGGTGGATGAATAAGCCATAAGCAGACGAAGAATATGCGGAGGTATACCGATTCGCTCGCAGATGGGTGATAAAGGAGAAAGCGAGTATGGATATCTGGACCTTGTATATTACATTCTAATTTAAGCATACATGTGCTAGTGGTCCATAATCTGGTCCATTTTAAAGCCTCGCTCCATCTACTCTTGGTGGTAAGTGTGTTCAACTTATCTGTTCTTCAAGTACTTTAGAGTGTCGATTAGTCGGTGGCTTATATCGTGCTCTATTGACAGCGCAAGCAAAATATTTGCTCTGTGTCACCAATTCTTTTACAATTACGAAGGAGTGCTGATCAGATTCGGGATTTTTTTTTTTGGCTTTTTAATCGCTTCGACCAGGAGCACATCCCATCGGTCGATCCTGGGTCTCCTAATTCTCTTACCCGTTTGAGCACAGCTTGTGTATGCACCCAGTTTGTGTGATTATGACAGGGTGAAACCTTAGGAATTTTGGGCTCACAATTTTGGGCTCACTTTTGCCTTCATCAGTTACAACTCATTTGGTTGGTGCAATCGGCAGTAAACAAATGCAGTCTTACATTGTCACGAAACAATAAACGCCAGTATATTTATCCCTGTCTATCACGCATACACACAATACGGCCATTCTATCGTGTCTGTAGCTTCTTGCTACGTTACCACGCACATACATCATCGACCGATACTTTTAGGACCGTCATGTGATTTGTCAAATGCTACCTCAAGATTGACTACAGCACGCAGTTGTTGTTTTCTGGATTGTCGGAGAGTATACGAATGATCACCAACATACGTCTTAATCGCTGCATTTACGGCTACAACTCGTTTGATCGACGCGGCATCATATGTAAAGAATTCGAGTTTTCGACAAACTGTGCGTAGAACATTATTCATAGACAAACTCACCGCAAATAAAACCGAAGATATCTCAGGCACTTCTAGTTGTGCCGAGGTAGAACTGGCTACGTGGTTTTATGTTAAATACTCGACAATACCATCCTTTGGTTGTAAACTGGGCAGAAATCATAATGCTGCACTAGACAGCATAAGCACGCAGAGCAGGCAATCTTATCTCGCAACTGACTCTATATCCGGTTTATCATAAGTACCAGACCATGGCAACGGCGGCAGACCTATCACTTTCGAATGTACCTGAACTATATACCGTTCTGCTCGATATATGTATGTCATAATATTTATGTCATTTATCGTCCGCCCATAAGTCATCATCGTCTTATTCTATTAAACAAATACGTCTCGCATTTAGCAGCGTGTATAGGTTTCTTGTCTCGTATTCGTCAGCAAGCATATCCTCATCAAGAGATCGATCTGCGTGTGCTGGATAGTTAATGTCCTTATCTATCTATACAAGCAATGATTATCAGAAGAACTTATTCTTCGCCACTTCTGTTTCTTCTGTATACTTTTCACATTTGGTCTCAGACCATTTCTTATGCGCATAAGCATTTCAGATAGTAGGAGGTGTGTCTGTATAACACATGAAACCCCGAGCCATGGCAAGAAAGTATTCACTGTCATATCACTTTTAGTAACAATAAGGCAGCTATCACAGTATATTCGAAGCTAAATATAGTAACTGCGACCAAAAGTTATAACTGCGCAGGTTTCAGTAGTGTACCTTCGCCCGAATCTACTGTAGTTATAATATCGGATACATTGGAAGGCTTGTATTGCTTTGTCTAGAATAATTTTATCATAGCCAATAGCCACAAAATCCAAATTGTAAGCTAGAATCCAGTCTATCTTATGCTGTAGGTGTAGTGCCAAAAATTGTTGTTCTACTTTCATTTGCGCCATCGCATACTCTATTTCCTTGTCTTGACAACGGAATATGATGATCTCTAGGAATATGATGATCTCTACTTCAAACCGGATACATCAGCTTTACACATGTTCTCTTTGTCGAAACCGACTGTCTTGCATTTGTTATGTGTTGACGTTGTTCATCCAATGTGACATTGTGTAAGTATACATTTATATATGAATCTACATAAGTGTAAGATTCGGTCTATTAAGGCGATATTAACGCCTTAGAGTAAATAAACGCGTAGGTAAATTCTAAGTATCGTGAAAATATCAAAGTAAATAAACGAAATGAGACTTTTAGTAAAATTAGGTATGCCTCGTGAAAACAGCAATACTCTGAGGGATTGTGAGACTGAGACATTGCCTGTATATAATCCTCTCAGTGCTGTATCCGCCGAAGAGATTTTATTTAGTGTTTCATTGTCGCTCTATTCGAGACTATGGTATGTTTCATTGGGGCGAATCTGAGAGACTCATAAAATCCTATCTTCAGAAAAAATAAATAAATAAAAAGGAAAAATACTCTTGATGTCCTTAGTTATTGTCTTAACCAATAACTTGCCACTTATCAAGAAGTACCGACTTAGCCTTCATCAGACTGGCACATCTGGTTGGCTGATCGGAGAATCAACTAGGTAACGTTAATAGTCCCTAGAAACCTATATTCGGTTGAGCCAACTCGCTACCGAAGTATTCAGATATACATAAAGTTGGAAAGTAAATATAGTTCAAATAATAGAACTAGACCAATTCTTGTGTTTGGTATTTTAACTGGGGCCTTTTAATGGTCTCGTCCAAATACCTGATATGTAAAATGGAAAAGGTATTAATTAATAAAACCATTAAAACCCATTTAGGAAACTTAAGTTCCTCGTACTATTAAGAGTACGTTTATAATTTACGTACTGCTTAAGAGTACGTTTATAACATAGAGTCTAATGTGGAGGCCCGGCTATTACATAAGAACATGTAGATGGATGCACATTTATATATATACAGGTGCGTGCACAGACGTATGTGTATGGACATACAAGACCAGGTTGAATATTTAAAAACATACCTATCGTTTTGATAATTGAAACAGAAATGCCATTGATGTTCACCCAAAACAAAATTGTGTAAGTATACACTTATTTGTAAACATACAAAACGACATGCAGATGCATGCACAATTTTTATATATTCAGATGCATGCACAGATATGTGTGCATGAACCTATGACAGCTAATATTTAAAAAATACATATAAAGATTTCGTATTTGAAACAGAAGTTCTACATACCTAAAGTATCCTACATAATACACATTATTCATACTTTAATATATTCCTTGATCGGAATTCCCGATCTGCTGCTCGTGTTTCATTTGCTTTCATATCCTCCACTCTATACCCACCAAACTGTATCGGAAGCTTTACAGGTCGCAAACAATCCGATTGTACACGTTGTAGATACGCACATATGTCTATTAGAACCGACTGCTAGTTATTGTGTAGAGCCGTGTCAATCGCATGCGTACACATGAACTGGTGGGCTAGGTAGCTAGCATCTATACCTACTACGTCAGCCATAATCGACAAGACGTTTATACAAACGTAGGCTAAAGTAAATTAAACAATCCTGCTTGCCCATGCCCGTAAGCTATACTTATATGAACCCGAGAGTAATTTGGTACTTGTTCTCAAATTAATATACGTATAGGTGGATCAGCCCGAAAGCACGTATAGAGCCATTTGAGACTTCTTCTCATATTATTCTACACGTGTTCTCGGGCTGACCCACCTATACATATATTATTTTGAGAACAAATCCTACATTACTCTCGGGCTGACGGCATAAAACGATATTAACATATTTAGAACTACGTCTAACTTTTTAGTCTCTCAAGATGTGCATGTTATGACAACACTTGAGCATAGTATATTGTATACTTATCTATTCACCGTTTTGTGTAAAGAGTGTTCATGAATTTTACAGTCAAGCTGAGTCAGTAAATTCCCAAAAAGAATGTTCCATACTACTTTATCAAATACCAAATTTAAGTGCCCTAGTATTGCACTAAAGCTAATAGAGTGTTGTCCTACAAAGCTAATTTTATTTGGTTGATCCCATACTTATTCTACAAGTACAAGTCTCTAGTAAGTGGTGACAACTTTTAGTAAACCGTGACCCATGTGTTCCTAACTACGAGGAAGGGATCATCTGAAAGAGTATGGCTTCTCATAGAAAGTAATTGTCACTACTCCTCGTGTAGCATCTAGGGACCAGAATATCAAAAAGCCAATCCATATTCCAAAACCCAGAATAATCAAATATTGAGTTTTGGAATTAGGATTGGAATATTTCTGATATTAGTCATCAGAAATATTAGCGGTAGAACCGTTAAGCTATACTGGGACTCTGCGTGAGAGAAATACTCAAGTAAATCCTGAGTCTAGTGAAAACACAAACAAAGACTCAGTTGGGTTCTCTCATACTAGAGATCTCTCCTAGCTGAGATAGTCGTACTTGAGAAGAGGTCTATTGTATCCTTTAACGTGTACCTTTCAGATAAACTCTATACTCTACATTTTTACAATATCCTTGAAACATAGATAAGTCAACCAGAATCACAATACGCTAAAGAAATTATCGTAATTAGTGAAACAGAATTCAGTACAGTTTTAAGACCACTCTAAAGTAATAGAAGATTATTACGAACAAGATGAAGTTAACTTCCAAGAGGTGCCAACAGAAAGAAGTTGGAGCCGCTACCCAGGACTGCCGCGGAAATAAGAACGAAGAGGAGCGAAAGAAAGAGACGTTCCGCCGATAACGTGGCCTTAGGACAACAACCAAGGTAACAATATCGTGTCCAGAAGCAAGCTGGACACGTGTCAAGGAAGTACGAGTGTAGTTATGATCACAGAGAGAACATCCGCGTGTAGAAAAATTAGAAGTGCCACGTTGATTAATTAATCAATGTTGGGGATTTTCGAACAAGAAAATCTACTGACGTCAGGGGCCCTACACAACAAAGCTAGGTAAACTAGATAAAATAGCACAAGCGATAAAATTTCTATCAACTAGCTAGAATTATGAGTCTACCAACTAATACATCTACAGAGAAACAAATAAAACATTAACGTAAGGTGCACACATCACAAGACAGTCAGGCAGTACAAGTGTTGTTATGATCACAGAGAGAACATCCGCGTGTAGAAAAATTAGAAGTGTCACGTTGATTAATTAATCAATGTTGGGGATTTTCGAACAAGAAAATACACTGACGTCAGGGGCCATACAAGATAAACTTGAATGAAGTAGCATATACAAACAACAAATAATAAAAGACAACATACCCCCTCTCGACACATTTATTGTTAAAAAAATGTATATAGCCGAAGGCTCTTTAATTTAAATCTAAGCAATTTTTGTACGATAAAGTCACTAAATGTACATAAAAAAATTGGAATTGTCGCTAAATGTACTTTTGTACATATTTGATCCATATTTCAGTGCGTTTTCATCGAGAAAAAGGGTGAATGTAAATTCAGTGACTTTTCCACATTTCCAATGTACATTTAGCGACTTTGTTCATATATCTGTCAAGGCAACTGCGTCCTGGTTAGTAGGTTTATATCCAAGCTGGGACAAATAGTACCGGTGCCTATATCGACTCTATACAAGATGAGAGTAAGCATTCATGATCCACAGCCAGAATGATGCATGCCACTCGTGGATGCGGAGCTCAGACGATGATATGATTTAGCTATCAAGGATTGTGGTGACGATGAGGAAGATGATCTCATTCAAATAAGTCAATACATTAGTGAGTTAGAGTTCATGCGTTCACGCTTAGGCGACCAGATAAACGAAGCACCTATGACTTCAGAATTTCCTAAGCTACCAAAAGATAGCTACTTTGGAAAATTGTGAAGACACCATAGAGTTCACTACGCAATGTAGAGATATATTCCTAGCGAAGTCCATGCCGCTGTGTCAGTACCCAGCACTAGTGGCCTATTAGACTCCACTGATGCAACGGAGAAGACCAAGTCGATACTCAATAACTTAAGAGATTCTGAGACGCGTACAACTAAGCACTTCAAGGAACCTGAGCAATTCAATAGAATCATTATTGACAGGCTCAGGCCCCACCCAGTAGACTATCTGTTGGATAAATACCTCGGTGACATGCAGAACAAGAAGTTGAACGTCGAAATGCGCACAGAGCATGCGCATATGACAATGGCGATGTTCGAGGAGCGTTACCGCAGCTCAGAAAAGGAACCCATACACTATCCCCACATCAATTCAGTCTATGCCCCAAGAAGGCTTCGAAGCAGGCCAAGCAGGCTGAGGCGCAGGTCAAGAAGGATGTGCAAATAGCAAGACTGTCCATTACCTCTGGCAAGGTAGAAGATATCACGGAGGGCGATGAACACTGAAACAACTGGTGGGCGGAAGCAAACATGATTGACCTGGCTGGCAGACTCAATGTTTATACAGATGAAGAAACGTTCTTAATAAATGCAAATGAATTAAATTACCAACGGTTATCATTACTTCCCGCACACGAGATCAACGTTTACACATAGATATACAAATTAATGGCAATACATACAATGCACTAGTAGACTCGGGCGCATAACGCTCATGTATGGAGAAGAGTGTAGCAACAGAACTATGTCTTTCCGTCAGAGCGCAACCGGGTTATATACAATTAGCACAAACAGATGCAAGAATACAACTCACAGGATCAACTGGAGTTTGTGACATCAGTTATGGATGTTGGAAAACCTCTCAGTTTTTTGAAGTATTGGATTTACCAGACAAGAAGGCACCAATACTTCTCGGTATGGACATTTTACCATACATAGGTATATACATAGCAGGATAAATCAATCCACAGATACCAACGGATGCGAAGTAGGAATCACTCCTCACTCCACATGAAGAGGACCCTGAGCATAAACAAGAAGGCTTCAGGGAGTCACTTGCATATCTTCGAGATACCAACACGAACATACCTCCTGACGAACATTGCAACCTACCAGGCTCCACAGTCACAGTACCTGCAAGTGAAACTAATGTCAGACAAATGAGGCACGCTAAAGTCAAATTTGTACCTCACCAGTATATTCCACAAACGGATGAGAGTGTACAGGGGTGGCTTACAGATGGTCACATGTACAAACCGAACTACACCCAACAACAGTAAATTTACCGTTGTTATCAACAGATCAACATGATCAAACAGCTCTCCTCAAGAAAGTACAGACATGCCTAGACTAACGCGAGATCAATTATTAATATGAACAAGATAAGTTTGAGTTACCGAAAATAAAGGAAGTACTACACAACCTACAAGGAGCACAGTTCTTTTCAAAGCTTGATCTCACTAGAGGATGTCACCACTTTCCAGTAGACGAAGCAAGTCAACACTTCTTCACATTCTCATGGAGAGGAGCGCAATACTTATTTAAGTCAGCGCCGTTTGGACTACACTCACTCACAGCACAGCTCCGGGGAGCCATGGCAAACTTGTTAATAAACATCAAATGAGTGCAAGTGTATGTAGATGACATAGTCATTGCAAGTCTTACAGAAGAAGAACATCGTAAGACAGTTCGTAAAGTAATCTAGCGACAGAATGGAGCAGACTTCCGTCTCAATCACAAGTGTGCCTTCGCGGTCAAAGTGGTCAACATTCTAGGTTTGAAAGTCACCACACAGGGACTCAAAGCAGATCTTGAAAATTAGAAAAGGATGATGGACTGGCCACTACCCAGAACAAAAATAAATCTACACAAAGCGGTGGGACTAGCAAATTACAAGCGCGACCATGTCCCCAACTTTGCCCACACAACTAAACACTTCCGAAACATCATGAAAGAAAAATTGAATCATAACATATCCATGTTATGGACTCCGGAACTCAAAAAGAAGTGGGAAGAACTCAAAGAAGCCATCGCCTATTCAGCGACATTAGCATACCCTGCTGATGGGGTACCGTTTCAAATAATGAATGATGCTTGTGACTATGGCATAGGAAAATGTTTATGTTTTATTTCAAGTCATCGATGGGGTTAGAAGCGACATTCTCTACTTCTCGAAAGGCTTGAATCCAACACAACAACGATATGGCAGAAATACTAATGAGCTACTAGCACTCGTATACAGCCTGGAACAGTTCTCCGACTATATCAAAGGAGGGGACATAACACTGTGGACAGATCACAAAGCACTCACGCAAATGAACAGTCAACAGACGTTACACCCAATGCTAGCCAAATGGATAGCAAAAGAATTACACCACCACTTCTCCATCATACACGTCCCAGGCAAGGACAACCAGATGGCAGACAGGTTGTCGCGTCTACATGAAAACACTTCGAATACTAAACTTCGAAGGTACTACAAGAAGCGAATGAAACAACACAATATAACCAAGAGTATATCACATAGGAACCGAATATATCCACAACTATATCAGCCATAGACTGAATGTTACACTCCAGATTCTACCAAGAAGCTGAACGAGAATGTTACACTCCAGATTCTACCAAGAAGCTGAACGACGGTTTGGGAAATTCACAGTGGATCGATTTGCATCGGCACACAATACACACACAGATAAGTACTACACCAAAATTCATAACGCGCTACAACAAAAGTGGGCGCAGGAAGTGAATGCATGGGCGAACCCACCATGGAAACTCATACCTGATATCCTTGACGAAATCATTGAAGAGGCAACCAGCATCACGATATGTGCACCATACTACCCCAATGCAACGTGGTTTCCAAAATTCTTGTCTTTACTAGAAGAAGACCCGATGCTAGTGGAAAAGACAAACAATACTTTCCTCAAAGAAGGCAAGAAAGCTTGTGGCAAGACCCCATGGGGTGTCACATTAGTCGTAAAGATAGGAGTGAAGTGTCCATATCTTGACTCAACGCGGGAACAACGTGCCATACACGTTGCAGCATCAGAACCAGTTCACTCTGGAGATGCACCACAGGCAACAGAATACGAGACACGTGTCAACCTCATCGAGCAATACCACAAATTGAGAATTTACACTCTTGAGGAACCGATACATAAGTTGGAAGCAATGGACATGGTTGGCCTGATATCCAACAACATGTACACAAGTTCATTGACGGATGCATACCATGTCTCAAAAATAAGATACACAAAAAAGGAATTCCATCCCTTACAATCAATCACAGCCACATTTCCAGGCGACAGAGTCCAAGTGGACACCATAGGGCGGGCCACTATTGGATTCCAACAGAGGGCACACATATGTGTTAGTATGGCTCGATGTACACTCATCCGTATGTCATATTACTCCGATGATGGACAAATGAGCGGCTACTATAGCACGCACGCTAGTACCAATCATGTGTGACCATGTATTTTCACAAATCATACAGACTGACCAAGGCACTAAATATTAACAACATGCTTCCGAAAGTTGTTGAACAAGCGTCAATGCAACACCTAGTCTCTCGGCCGTGTCAACCTAAAGTCTTAGGTGCGAACGAACGATCACACAGAGATCTCATGCCACTGTTACGAAAATTCGTTGAGCAATACCCAGGTAACTGGTGTTCACGACTTCATTCGTAGAGATGGGTCACAATCTGCGTACATCAAGAAGGCACAAGTCACCACGATTTAACGTGTACTTTGGTCGCAGACAGAATCAACTAACGGACTACAACGAGCCAGTGACCGCACCCAGTACAACAGTATATTGGGAAGAGCGACTGCAGAATCTAGAAGAAGCCATCAGGCCACAACTAGACAATAATGTTGTACAATATCAAGAGAAGATGCGCGCAGCATACGGTCAAAAATACCAAAAGAAATATGTAAACTTCCAGGAAGGGGACTTTGTCATGGTTCGCTATCAAGGTGAAATGAACAAGTTAATAGCACCAAATGGCGGACCATACAAAGTAGTACACAGGGAGGGCAATGGGTATTTTTTGTCTGTAGCCTTGATGGGAATAAAACCCCCGAATATCCTGACTCGATCAGTGATGAGCTACTTGGACTTGTAAAAAGGACCAGTGCTCCGGAAGCATTTACTTCCAATAATCACGCACAACAAAACGAGAAGACTCAGTTCTCCTCGATAGTCGACGACAGGCCGTACATCCGAGGTGATAGATCCCAGGAGTACCTACTGCAATGGACAGATGGGGAGCGTACCTGGACGCATGAATCAGACATCACAGATGCTGATGTCATTGCAACATACCGTCAACGCCATAGATGCAAACGAAGGCAGTCAAGGCCAAAGAAGCCGGCGACGACGAGCACTGATGAAAGATCAGCGAGCAACAGAAAGCGCACAACTAAGCAAGTCTCACTGATACCACGGGACACTTCCACTTTTCTCGCCTTGAAGCATGCTCACCAGAGGGACAAGGACCAAAGACTCGGTTGTAGAGCCACCATTGAGAAGCGCTTTCCTAAGCCAAGTTGAGATCAACCAAGAGCACCGGTCAAGACTGACTAAGATGAGCGTGGTAGAGAACTCCTGTCATAGTATAAAAGCCAATATCCGTCTGTGAATTAGATTACCGATATGCAAAAGTATGTACGAGCACATCAAATTAATGAGGCACAGAGGATGAGGAGTTTTTGCTTAAAAATGACAAGAAAGTTATTAATGCATCAGGAATATTTACAAAACTCAAGAGATTGTACCGATATGCTAGTGACCCCTGATTAAAACAGGGCCTGTTGGAAACATGTCGGTCGTAATTAGAAGCGGCGGGACTAGCTCAGAATTTTTGGACGTTGACAGCTGTGATTTGGAGGCTTTGATGACGTATGACGACTGAGCTCTATTTTGTGAGTTAGCTATGGGCCTGTAGTGTGTTTCAGAGAGACAGCCCGTTTTATGTTACACCCCATCTCACCTCAGAGATCTCTTGGCAGTTTATATTGACAATGTAATGTTCTGAGGGTAGATAATGATCAAAGAGCTATTCAAGGGCATTGCCCCCACTTATCATCTAGCAACTCACACCAGGCCATTTTCGTTTTTAGAGGCATATTCACCCGCCGCGCTTCAGGTTATACCACAAATTTTAGTCAGGTGCCTGATCACAAGAGCATACGAATTCCACGGGGATATTTCAAAAGGGCTGGCATCAACAAGACACTTATCAACCAGTACGTGCAATGGCATACTTTTCGCTCTTTTCTTTGGCACAGAGTTTATGCAGCCTAATATCACCAGACGACGCCATCGCCGGACTCGTAAGTATCAAACAAGCATCCCTAGAGCCATCTCGATCGATCGAGACCGTGACAGTAGCCGATCAATTCTTCAACGGATGGTTCCTCACGAGCCCACTTCAAAAAGCTGTGGACTTGCACTCGATATAGAAACGAATGCTGTAACAGAATAATAATTATTAGTTGGAAC